AACCTGACATAGGATAAAAATAGAAAACTATAAGACAATCTTACTATTATTAAAGTTGCCAAAAATTCAATAAATTTTAGAAAATAAGACAGTATAGCAAAAGAATGCCGTATCCTGATTACACAATTCCCAACAATAACTTTTGTCTCCACATAGTTTATATGCTGAACATACTCCCATTATTAAAGGCTCTCATTACAGTAGTGATTGTTAAAGAAGGGGAGCAAATAGTGGGAGAGTGGGTTAGCTTGAAAAATCATATACCTACTCGATCAATCCCCATGAAGAGCCACTATCCTATCCCATGGGCCCCAAGAAATAAAGGTGTAAAAGTGATACTACGATTGTTGTGTTTAAAATCAGAAAGGAAAAAAACTCAGAAATAAGAAGGAAAACAAACAAGCAAACAAGCAATAACAACAACAGAACCATACCAAAAAAAAAGAAAAGAAACAACGTCTCAAATGTTCCTACACGGGGCTGAGACTGGTAGAGTCTTTAAAATACGAAACCAACCCAATTTGGACGAAGACTTCTCCTATTCTCGTAAAATTTCCTTTCCAGACATGAGCATTCTTCACTGCTCCAAGAACCTTCAAACTGAATTCAAATTAGGATCCTCTGTGTCGAAAATTAAAACTGTTTACCAGTGTCCTCTTATAGTTTTTGAAAGGTGAGATGTGATGCCTTATTCCAGGACAAGCTCCCACTGAGTCAATCTAGTCACCACCAATCTCAACCAGCTTGTCAGTTTTCCCCTCAACTTGGTGCAATGTTGGCAAAGGTTATTTTGTCATTCTAAATACATATTTTGGTTGTTACCCTCAGAATCTTCACTATGAACTGAAATATTGTAAGAGTAAGGAGTAGAGAATTCAAACCAATGCAAATTGAAATTTGTGAAAAATTGTGAGAGTACCTTTAAATCAAATGCTAGAAGTCAAAAACTATATTAAAACTTAATTTTACTGAGTATAGAGATAAAATTTCACTGAGTACAGAGACATAAATTATGTATATAATGCACATACATATCTACATGTATATGTATATATATATATATATATTTGTTGTTGTTAGGTGCTGTGGAGTCAGTTCCAACTCATAGGGACCCTTTGTACAACAGAACAAAACACTGCCTGGTCCTGCGCCATCCTCACAATCATTGCTATGTTTGACCCCATTGTTGCAGCCACTGTGTCAATTCAACTCATTAAGGTCTTCTTCTTTTTTGATTACCCTCTGCTATACCAAGCACGATGTCCTTCTCTAAGGACTGGTGCCTCCTGATAACATGTCCAAAGCATGTAAGACTAAGTCTCGCCATCCTCACTCTAAGGAGCATTCTGGCTGTACTTCTTCCAAGACAGATTTGTTCCTTCTTCTGGCAGTCCATGGTATATTCAATATTCTTCGCCAACACTGTAGTTCAAAGGCATCAATTCTTTATTATGATTTAAAGGTACTCTAACTTACAGTTTTTGACAAATTCAATTTGCATTGGTTTGAATTGTGTACCCCTTGCTCTTATTATATTTTGATTCATAATAAAGAATTGATACCTTTTAATTATGGTGTTGGCAAAACCAAGTAAAAAATCAAACCCGTTGTGGTAAAGTCAATTCCGACTCGGAAGGACCCTTAAGGACAGAGGAGAACTGCCCCACAGGGTTTCCAATGATGGATTCGAACTGCTGACCTTTTGGTTAGCAGCCAAACGCTTAAACCAGGGTGTTGGCAAAGAATATATATATACAAAATTGTTACTCATGTCAGCTGGATATAAGATTTCTGCAAGTTCTTGGGGACTGGTGTGCTTCCAGATCCCCGGTAGCACAGTCCTAAAGAGCTCTGCTGGTGGTAACCAAAACGTCGGCAGTTGGAATCCACCAGCTGTTCCTTGGAAACCCTATGGGGCAGTTCTACTCTATCCTGTAGGGTCGCTATGAGTTGAAATTGACTCGATGGCAACAGGTTTTTTTTTTTTTTTTAAGGGTCCTAGCTTCAACCTCCTTCCAATCATGAATTACTCCAGTTCAAATGTCAGCTCACAATCTTCAGCTTGCGTGGTCCCTCTCCTTTGCTAATTCAGGGATGGAGCTCAGACTTTTCCCTTAATTTCTATCAAAATAAAATAAAATTGTAAAAACAACCAAAGGTAAACAAATAGACCAAAAAAAAAAAAAAAAAAAAGCTACCTTCACACACAGTAACTGTGAAGATGGTAAACTTTTCACCAAAGCAACGCAAAGAACTTAAAATCAAACATTAGCTATTTGTGCTCTAAAAGAGTCCCTTAGCCGTTTCCATAAGTGGGAGATCCAGCTTCCTGCCATGTTATACTTCTCTCTCTCTGTCTCTCTCTCTCTCCCTCTTTCTCTCCTCACGCCCTCCCTCCCTCCCTCCTCCTATACCCTGATCTTCTCTGCTTCCTTTGTAGCTATTTGTACACCCTCGGGAGTTTAGATAACACTTTTTGGCAGTTTGGCTCATGTTCGCAGGATTCTTTCCCACCTCAAATTGTTAATCAAACTATTTTCTCAAAGTTTTCTTCTTAAGAGAAATTCTGGAGCCAGTGTATCCCTCCTACATTATATTTAGCCAAGTCAGTGAAAGAGTGAAGGTTGTTTTTCAAGTTTTTTTTTTAAATCCTAATTCAAAAAAATTAACAATCATTCAATGTCACCTAACAGCAACAAATTACCCTTCTATATGACTTCTAGGTTGATTCAGATCTAAAACCAGTTAGCAATTATTTTAAAATTTTGCAGTTTTATTGGACTTATAATAATGCATATGAACTCTGAACTTTATTTTTCAGTCAACTGTTGCATAAGCAGACGATTTTAACCATAATTACAAAGTGGAGAATCTGAGAAAGCTAAGAACCTCCTATACTTGCTATTGAGTGTACATGAAAGTGTGCACCAAATGCTATCCAGGAACATAGAAAGAAAGCTTGGTTTTGCCTTTCTTCACAAGATGCCCCACTCAATATGTGTTGATGTAGGTTGCCTAGATGAAGAATGCCAGTTTATGGCTTGAGGAAGGAAATGAAAATAAATTCTGGTTCACAATCACTTCTTAGGAACAGGCTGCTACCGCCACCTGGGGGAGGTTCTTTCTGCATCATTCAAGAAAGCCAAATGTGCTTGTCGGATGACTGAATCCGGTTCATGTTTTCCTTGTCATTTCCACACCGGAAGAAGACTTTTTAACTCTCTATCCATGAAATCATAAAGCATTCCAGATGACTCCAAGTTTCCTTCACACAGAAATACATACTTCACAGACTTTCTGAGAGGTATGGGATAAAATAAATCATAAGATAACCATAGTAAGCTTTCTGTATCTTACACACTGAGAAAGTATTTTGGGAAGTATGGATTATATACTACAAAGCGGAAAAAATCAAATGTAAGCTTTCAATAGCAGAATGAAACCCAAATTTTTTAAGTAAAATGTATTTGGCCTCAATTTAGTGTTAATTATAGTTCATTTCCTAATGCTACTATTAATTGATATGGAAACTGAATGTGCTGATATAAACATGTTAGTGATTTCATCAGTTAAGATAATTAATTTAATTGTACAGGAATAACCAAAATAGTCTTCTTAGATTTTTTTAAATTTACAAACTAAATATTATTATAGTCAATATCTGATTATCGAACATGTATTACATAACTATTTCTTGAAACTTTTCGTGAAGTTGAGATATGGTACTCATCAATTAGAATGAAAAAATTGTGACCATTGCTAAAGAATGCCTAGTTTCTATTTAATACTTACCTATCTCAAATCATTTATGCTATCAACAAATTGTTACTTTTCAGTAAGGCCCCATATCAAAGAATTTAATCCTGGAAAGAGAAGTTTCAGGAAGTACCTATGGAAATTACAAGTCTATCAAGTGACATAAAAGAGTCAGTGCTGATTAGAGAGAGACAGCCATTTATAACGAGAATGTCTGGTAATAGATTAATTAAATCAAATAACATATGGTATCAGTCCCAGACTAGTACAAGAATACACTCAGAAGGTTAAAGTTCACAATGAAGAACAACGGTACCAACTTGAGGGAAGTCTTTGTAGAGAAAGACATACTGAAAAAGGTATGTGATATACAACAAATGGGTTGGGATTGAATGCTCAAATTTCAAAAATATCATGAGTCTGATTCTAGAGTAAAAAGAAATCAATAAACTGGCACTGTAAGGCAGCCGACACAGCTGAATGAGCTAGGTGAGCTGGAGCCAACTTGGAGGATCTAAACAACAAATACATTTTTATGGGGATGAGTGAGTTTCCTTCAAGGTGGTCATGGTAGGGTCTGGGAAGATTGAGATGAGAAGTGTTAGAGGACTAGAGAAGTCTGAGGTACATAAAACTAGAGAATAGTAGAATTACAGTTATAACTAATGACTGTACAAAATTAAACTGTTTTATTTCTGAACATGCAGCTTGAGCATATTTGGTAATTAGACAGTAGCAATGCCTTGTCGATTTAATAAAAATGATTGATTGCCTTATAATGCTATAAGGGGCTTATCCTTTGTACAAAAGTTTAACAATACTTTACAGGTGGTAGAAACAGAATAGACTGTCCCAAGATTCTACTACCTCCTAACTGAGCTGAAATTGTTTTGGGCTTTATTTTCTTTATTAAAAAGTCAACACTTTATAATAATGGGCTATGGAGATGATTTATTAGTTATTTCATAATAGAAATTACAAGTAGTTCTCATTTTCATCATAATGTTACCTGGTTGTAAAAAAAAAAAAAAAGAATAAACAGGAACAGAAGGCATCTTTAACATAATTCATATTTCATAGAACAGAAGCATTCAGGAAGTTGGGAAAGATGATTTTTTGCAGATGCCACTTGTGTATTAAGGGGGTGGAGTAGGTACATTGTTAAAAAAGCAAGAGTGCTGTTTCTTCCACCGTTCTATTCCTACTTCTCTTTCAAAAGTGAATAAATTTCAAATACTGCTGCTAGCTATATGTTCCTGAGCTCAGGAACCTCAACATCCATTCTGAAGCCAACTCAACTACCACATGGATGAGTTAACATATTCCTCCTAAAAAAGGTTTACATTATCTTCATGTTTCCCTGAGAAGCAATTTATTTTTTATTTTTCTTATTTTCCTGCAATTGTTGCTTGTTCCTCCCCTCTTCTGAATCTGTATGTGACTTCTCTGTTCCCTCTCAATATGAACTACTAATACTATATATCTTCCCTTCTGTCAGTGGGGTGTCTCCATCCATCCATACTTTAGTCACCACGAATGCGGGGAAGGCAAATCAAAGAGTAATACTGGGTATGCTCCAGGCCAGTTAGGAAGCTTCACATTGTATGAATGTAGAGACCTAACTGCTTATGCCTTCGTTAACCACAGCTATGACAGACCCCAACAAGATGATCATCAACTTGGTCCTCTTTGGCATGACTCAGAGTGGAAAAAATTCTGCTGGAAACATTCTGCTGGGAAGCAATGACTTCCACAGTAGCTTTGCTCCATGTTCTGTTACCAAAGATTATAGCCTGGGCCACAGTTGTCACCTCCACAGCTTCATGCACCGAGGGGGTCATGAGACAACCCTTCAGGTCCAGGTTTTGGACACTCCAGGCTATCCACACAGCCACCTGAGCAAGAAACATGTGAAAAAGCAGGTCAAGAAAGCCCTGGCACATCACTTTGGGCAAGATGGTCTCCACCTCACACTGCTGGTGCAGAGAGCAGACATGCCTCTCTGTGGACGGGAAGCATCGTCCCCAATCCAGATGATCCACGTAATTCAAAGAGGCAAATTCACTAATGCCAGTATTCATTTTTGGTGGACATTATCTTGATAGTTGTTGTTAGTTGCCATCGAGTCGGCTCTGACTCACGTCGGCCTTATGTATAACAACAAACCTTTGCCTAGTCCTGTGCCATCTTCATGGTAGTTGATGTGTTTGATTGAGTCTATTATTGTGGCTGTTGTGTTAATACATCTGACTGAGGGTTTCCTCATTTTCAGTGACCTCTAGTTTACCAAATGTGATGTCCTTTGCTAGTAATTGGTCTTTTCTGACGATGTGTCCAAAGTAAGTAAGCCAAAGTTTTGTTAAAAGAATAGTTGAAAGCACACAGGTCACATAGAAATAGTCAGTAAAAATTACATGATTTTCCCACCAAGAGTTATTGTTACAATTTTTCTTAGGGGAATCAGTCATTTTACAACTGGGTCATATGAAAAAAAAAAATGGAAATGCAAAACTTCAGAAGTTCCCTAAGTCTCAATGTTTTAAGAACTGAAAATCCGAATATGTTTGTAAAGTGTGGTTCCCAGACAATCTGTATCAGAATCATCTGGGGTGCTTGTTAAAAATACAGATACGTTCAAGACCTACTGAAACAGAATCCCTAGAATCCTGTGTATTTGCATTTTAGTAAATTTTCCACATGATTCTTAAGGACAGTCAAGTTTCAGAACCACTGTCTAGAATACTGACTTGCATCCACTCAGTATCAAGGGAAAATCTTATAGCTCACCAACAAATGGGTGTGCATTCACTGACACAGTCATTGAACACTGTGTATTTAGCACTTGAACAGAGCTTAATGACTGGTGAATAAGACATGGGCCCTGCTCTCAAAAAGTCTGCAGTGTACAAGAGACAAACTGATAAACAAGACATTGCCTTAAGTAGTAAAACAGCGTAATGTAAGAGGAGAGAAAAGGGAAGCTTCACTGAGACTTCCAGCATGGTAAACCTTCACGAGAGATCTAAGGAATTTCCAGTGCTGTGCTTGCCTCATCATCTGTAGGGTCAGTAACTCCTCCATTCCAGCCATTAGAAGACAACGGGGACCTCAGGATGAAAAAAATAAGTATGCCACCTTTGCCTAGTGCCTCATCCTTTTTGTTTGTTCCTTTGTTATAAGTTGCTAAATTGAATATTTATTCAGCCAGTTTATGAGAGGAGCTGAATGCAGGAGAATGGTTCTGGGTATGGCCAGAGCTAGGAGATGGAGGGAATAATACATCCGTGTGTGTGCACGTACGCGTGTGCGTATTTGTTACTGTTGTTTGTTGCCATTGAGTTGAGTCCTTCTCATGGCAACCCCATGTACAACAGAATTAAACATTGCCTAGTCCTGTGCCATCTTCACAATCATTGGTATGCTCGAGTCCATTGTTGTGACCACTGTGTATTTTGAGTGCCTTTCAACCTAGGGGGCTCAACTTCTAACACTATATTGGACACTATTCTGTTGTGATCCATTGGGTTTTCACTGGCTAATTTTTGAAAGTAGATCACCAGGCCTTTCTAGTCTGTCTTAGTCTGAAAGCACCACTGAAACTTGTCCACCATGGGTGACCCTGCTGGCATTTGAAATACTGTTGGCATTAACTTCCAGCATTATGGTAACGCACAAGCCATCACAGTATGACACACTGACAGATGGGTGGTGGATACAAATGTGGTGGATATATATATGTGGACATGTTACCAGGAGGGGAGGGACCAGTCCCTGGAGAAGGACATCATGCTATGGTCAGCGAAAAAAAAGAAGACCTTCAATGAGATGGAGTGACACAGTGGCTGGAACAATGGGCTCAAACATAGCAACGAATGTGAGGATGGCTCAGAACAGGACAGTGTTTTGTTCTGTTGTATACAGGGTCACTATGAGATGGAACTAACTTGACAGCACCTAACAACAACATGTAGACTACAGACGAAAATTCCTGGAAGCTGCTCATTATATTCAGTCTCTTGATTTTCTAGTCTGGGGCCACTCAAGTTTAACTGTTGGACTTCAGTGGTACTACCAGCTGCCTCACTGACACACTGAACTCAGAAAACCCGTGTCTGTTAGAAGCTCCACAGGTAAACTATATGGAAAATAAAGAGCACATTTTTCATTCAAGAAGAATTTGTGTATATGCTACTCTTCTTTTGGTCCAGTCTCAGACCATACTGATGTAGGACCTGTTACACCTAGAAAAATAATATATTTTGTTTTAAAGAAAGATTTGTTTCCCTTTAACTAGTAATGGCATAAGATTTTTCTAAAAGAAAGATGCACATTTTGTTTTTTCAGTAATTGTGCATGTTTCTAAAAATGAAAAAAAAAAAAAAAGCCATATGCGTAATCACAAGAAACTACCAGAAAAAATTAGGGTGACAAGAGTATAAAAAATAATCTTCATTTTCCAACTCCTGAAAAGTCAAGGACATTCTGCACAAATCAAAGAAGACGAGAAGATGGTTGTAATTAAGAAACAATGTGGAATCTAAAAAAGCCCATAAACCTCTCCCAAGTTATTAAAGTCTGCATTTCAAGAAACATTTCTGTAGAAATCAAATGGGGGGAAACCTGCATCTATTACATTAAGTGTAAATTTTTTAAAAGTTTTTTAAATTCATTTAAAACTGCTGTTCAGTAAACGATTAGCTTTATTATGCTGTTGGTGTGTGCCATGGAGACGATTCCAACTCATAGCGACCCTATAGGAAAGAGTAGAACTGCTCCATAGGGTTTCCTCGGCTGTGATCTTTACGGGAGTAGACTGCTGGTGGATTGGAACTGCTGGCCTTTCGGTTTGCAGCCAAGTGCTTTAACCATTGCGCCACCAGAGCTCCTTACCTTTGTTATAAATGGATATAATTCAGTAAATGGAAACAGTTATTTCTCAAAAGCTAAACTGACTCTCTTCAGATGTCCCAGAATTTATGATGCTCCTATACCGAGTCAGAAAGGAAATCTTCAGATACATTATTCTTCCAGTTTTAGGATATAAAACAATATTGTAATCCCCTATTTTTTTTTTAAGTATACGTGAATCTGATTCATACATGTCTCTGGTCTTTTTAAATAATATCTGGCATACAGCCTTCTCCTCTTACAGCTGCCTTCCTTAATTCAATGTCCAATTCAGGAGTTGATGACAGAAAGGAGATAGGCTAAGGCAAAGCTCAGATCCAGAATAATTTTCCAGGATAAAAAACTTCTCTCTCCCAGGAGAACTCAGTAGCCAAGTCTTTGTAATCCTCAGCGGTGCCCACAACCCCTGGGAGGCACTGCAGACCTCTTCTGGGCTTCCACCACTGCCTTTGGTAGAAGATCGCCTAAGTACAAGGCTGGCTGTTTGTGACCTTCTTCCTGAAGGTGCCTCCCATGCTGGTGGTAGCCATCTGGATGTGCTCGCAGATTGGGAGCAGCTGCAGAATGTCTGAATAGTCAACAGGACCAGCAGCTGTTAGGAAGGATCAAGGAGCCCTTAAGGTCTTCTGGTTCCACACACACTATGGATTTCTTTTTCTTCCTGACCGAAGCTAAACGGCAAATGAAGCATCTGCCTTGCCCTTTTTCCTTTCTCCTTTTCTGGGTCATCCATGCCCACCATGGAAGGAGTCTGCAAGACCAATGCCAGGGAAATGGCCTCTTCTTCCCTGCACCTGCCTATTGTCTCTTTCAATGTCTCTCCCAACTTGTGCTCTAATATTTTATAGAGAGGTGAGAGGCTGCTAGCCTCTCACAATTGAAACATTTCCCCCAAATGATCCCTTTTTCTTTATCTATGTTAGGCTATCACTCATTTACAGCAAAACAATGGTGATATCAATGAGTCCTCTCCCCTAAATGGGGAAACAAAGGGAATGATTCATCTGAATTTTATCTGAATTGTCATTGAATGTTAAAAAAAATCCACAAATAATGGATCAGAGCCAATATTAGTGAAGTCACCTTAAGTAAGAGCTGACAGGCAGCCAAGCTGCTCTAGGACTGGACCCAGGAATTGACTAAAGGCCACATCCTTTCTACTATCACAGTATCACATATTATTGTGGCGTATAAATCTGCTTCAACTATGTATTTTTGTTTCCTAATCAACAGCTCAACTGTTGATGTTGTGGGTGGGTTTATGTACAAAAGGCTAAGAGAGGCCAATACAGGCCCTGGGAATACTAAACAAAGCCTACAGACTTAATTATGAGATAGAACCTAGATGAAAAACGAACCTTGCTGCTTCCTAGGTATATGACTATAAACAAATTATTACAACCTGCTTGGCTTCAGTTCCTCACTTGTAAAATGAGGATATTTTACCTATGCGAAAGAGTTCAAAGGGTTATATTTAATAAATATAATGTGCCTGGCATTGTACCTGACTTTTAGTAGGTTCATAGAAAGTGATAATTACTATTATCATTGTTGTTTTATTGCTGTTGTTACTACCCAGATTGTGATGAGTACTCATTCAAGTTAACTACTAGATATGTGCAATATATTATAGAGGTTAAGAGCAGGGCTTCTGGAGTAAGCTATACCTGTGTTCAACTTCCTGCTTAACTACTCATTTGCTTTGTTACCTCGGGAAAGTTAATTAACTTCTCTAACCCTCAATCTCTTCATTGGTAAATTATGAATGATTATAGTGTCTATTTTATTGGGTTTACTGGGTTACTTTTGGAATTATTGCCATATTGACATAACAGTAAACTGTTTAGTCCAGACCCTGCTGAATGGTAAGTGCACAGTAAATCTTAGCTATGCTCATTATTATTTTATTGTTAGTATTTGTCTTATCTTAAAAATAGGACGTATTATTTATATAAGTAGCCTTCTTTGGGTTATCTTGATAGGCTTCAGAAGACAGCAAAAGTGAAATCAAATTTACACAGCCTTAATTGAGAACTATATGTAACTCCCTTGAAATTTTAGAAAAATATGGGAGAAAACTCACTGGCTTAGTAAGGTTAAATTGAGAGGCCCCCAATTCAGTGGAGTACAGAGC